TCGGAAGGCATGCGGATGCTGCAGCTACGGCAGCGGGGCGGGCTGTGTTTTGCAGTGAGTTAAGAAGGCCGCGCGGCGTCAGGGTGCGCGTGGTGTGTTTCAAGGGCCACAGTCCGTCTTCCGTATGGGTGTGGGACCGTGGTGCCTTGGGGGCTGCGCGCTGCTCTTTGTTTGGGAGGAGGTCACGCTGTGCCTTTAAAATGGGGGCCAGGCTTTTGCTTCTCCTTTTGTGGCTTGGCTTCCTTTTTTCAGTGGTGTCGCCGCGTGCTGCGTCCATTTGGTCGCAATGAGTTGAGGGGGGTCATGGTGGGCCTTGGTAGGCTTGGCGCTGTGCTTCTGGGGTCCGTCGTGCTGCGTTTTGGTGCGTGGCCAGGCGGCTGCGCTTTGGATGGTGCGCGGTCATGCGGGGCCTTATGATGTAGGGGCGAGAGGTCTCCATAAGTTACAACGTCAGGGGGTCATGGTGGTCCTTTGGGGTCGTGGGGTGTCTTAGTCGTCCTCGTCGCCGCGGTGTGTTCGGGGTGGTAGTGCTGTGCCCTTCGGGGTCTTGCTGTGTTTTGGGGTCCGTGCTGTTTTGGGGGTGCTGTGTTGTTTTGGAAGTTCGTCGCGCTGTCTCTTTGGCGGTCGTGCTGGTGTGTCTTGGTTGTCATGCCTCATGTCCGGCCATGTGTCCCTTTGTGGGTCTATGCTGTGCCCGGGGGTCACGCCGCGCCTTTGGGGCCGTGCTCAGTTTTATGGTTTGCCATGCAGTGCCTTTGGGGGTTTGGGGTCAGGGGGTGCCGCAAGGGGGTCGCGGTGCCTCTTGCGGTTTTGCTTTTTTTTTGAGGGGGCGGGTCATGTCATAGCCCAGGGGCTGCGTGTTGTCTGCGGGGTTGCTTCCTTTGTCTTTTGGGGGCTGGCGGTCTGTAGTAATTTGCGCGGGGGGTCATGCTGTGCCCCTATGCTCGTGCTCATATTGTCTTCTGGGGGCCGTAGTGGGTTGCCTGGAGGGTCGCGCTGTGTCTTCTTGGTGGTCGTGGTGTGTTAATAAGTTTGGGGGGCCGTGGTGTCTTTGGTGCTTCGTGTGTTGCTTGGGGGACGCGCTGCGACTGCGTGGCCACGTTGTAGCTTGGGGCCGTGCGGTGCTTAAGGGGTCGCGCTGTGTTTGGGAGGTCGCGCTGTGTTTGGGGAGGTCGGTCGTGCTGCGTTTGGGGAGGTCGTGGGGCACTTTGGGGGCCGAGGCGGGATCGATGGGCAGCCCCCGCTCGTTGAGCCAAACAACAAAGCCGAGGGCAGTCAGCTAGCCCCAGGCGAGAACGCGGGCAGCCCAAACCGGAGAGGCTTGAGCGGCCAAAGCTGGCCCCGGCAAGCTGAGCGGGACCAGCGAACAAGACGAGCAGGGCGCGCGGGCTTGGGAGGGCTCACCGACGTCGGGCGCTCCTTACGGCATTGGCAACACCTCCGGCCCGCCCCCGCGCACGCATGAATGTCCGCCGGGCCTGTCTCATTGGCGTGGCGTGCCTAATTGATTCCGCGCGCCAGGGTTCTGGGTTCCGTGGGTTGCTTCGGTCTTTGTTCTTCTCCATCATCTCGACGGCAGCCGCCAAGGCCAAGGGGCGGGCGCTCCGTGCCTCAGTCGCTTTCTTTTTTGCTTTCTCTTATGTTTGTTCTACTCTGTGCCTGTGACTGTGCTGCTATCAAGGAGGGGTCGCCCAAGGGGCGACCCCGGTTTCTTGTAAGTACTTACATCAAACAATAAATAGTCTCAAATGCAAGTCTTACTCTTCTCTACTTACATGCGATAAATACGAGTCTTAAATACGATATCAAGCCTTACAATACGAGATACAAATACGAGTCTTAAATAAGACTGTTCCTCCGCAAGAGCCACATTCACTTGCACAAAAGTCGAAGATGGAGTTGTTTCTCTTTCTCCATGTTTCTCTTTCTCCAGGTCCTCCTGCAAAAAAACATCGGAAAATGCACTAGCAGATGTTGACTTGTGACGTACACAAGCCGAACTATCTCCGTTCTCGCAAGGCGAACTATCTCCATTCCCATCCGCGGGTTTCGTGTTAGACTCGGCTTTAGTCCCCTCAACATCTCGACTTCCCCTTTCGTCCCCTTCAATTTCATGAGAACTACTACTTCTGACCCTTGTAAATTAATAGTTCCTCATAGCTAAATGTAAGTTAATAGTTCTAGTTCACAGGAATAATGCTACTACAAGGCAAAAGGGAGGAATCTTCAAGATGCCGAGAAAGATGGACACTGAATGCTGTCCATAATCGTGCACACGGGGTCTCCTGTGGTCCTCGGTGCGAAGTCTCCTTCTACAGCGTCTCCTTCTACAGCGTCCAAACCGGATCCTGTAGCATCCTGAAGAGGAGCAGAACTGTCCTTGGCGAAGCACGACTCGTTGGAGCAAGTTTATTTCTTCATAAGTTACTTTTTTAGTAGTTATAACTTGATGTTCCCCTTGATGTACAACGAGTATTGACTATTACAGCCACCTTTTCATGGGTTACTCTATTGAAAAACGAAGAAAACCTCCGAACTACGGTACTTATAAACATTTTCTTCTCGTCTATCGCTTTGCTCTTTTTGTCCTTGCGTGAGGACTCACAAGAACCCAGTGGAGTAAAATGACTTCTGTCCTCAAGGTCCTCAAACTTTTCTTAGACAAAAAAGCTTTCCTCTTCATGTGCTCGTAAAGTTGTTCGTAAAGAAATATCCCGCATGCAGCAGGATCGCATATACGACCCCTCGACCACGCATGTTGATTCTATCCGTCGGATACAACGGGTGTTGGACGCCTTCCCGAATCGCCTAGGTCTAGGCGAGTCGCGATGCAGGTTAAGTGCTATGCGAAATCTGGATGAGTAGGCTATGCGGGAATTGTAGACCCAGGTCACAAAAAAAGGTCCCGAGTCATTCCTTCAAGTCGTGGTCAGATAGCCTCCCTGGTGACGAGTCGTACTGAGATGAGTTCTATCCGTCGGATACATTCATTCATTTACCTAGCAAGAGGTCGTTCTTGAGTCTTAAAAACCCTTTCGTGGCAACATCTTCTACTTTGTAATTGTATCTAGCAACATCAAAGGATTAAAATGCAATCCACTTGTTCTTCCTCAAGCATCGTTTGGAGGGCATCTGTAGAAAAAGTGAAGGAGTGAACGAACCTTTTTTTAGGGAAGAGCCGACCGAAGAAGCTTTTGTCGTATTGAATATGAGAAGAGGACCGACGAACCTTTATTTGCCGACGAACCTTGTGTTAGGGAAAAGATGACCGAACCTGTGATTTAATGCAGGGGACCGACGAAACTCTTTTTAGGCGTCTTCTTTTCGTTCGTTACTGTCCTAGACTCTTTCCGACGCCAGGTTATTTTGTAAATGATCACATTTGTTTTTCAGGTAACCGAATCTGCACTTGTACCGACGAGTAGCGACACGATATCGGAAATTGAAGTTCATTACTGCTCTCTATCTGTATTGTTTTTCCAATTAGAAGAACGAGCGAAGTGTCATCTAGAATCGTATACGGTTCATCTATTTATTCTAGTATAAGTACTTATGCAAATACGACCCGATGAAGATCGAAGTATAATCACAATCTAAAAAAGCTAATCGTTACTTTAAACAACCAGTTTTAATTTCCCCGCGCTTTGTCGTCTTCTAGCTAGCGCTTACGCATTTGAACCAAAGTTTAAACCTGGCTGACTTCCTGTTCCTTTGTAGATGGAAAATAATTCCTTTCCAGTAGAGGGATAAGAAAACTTTTCCCGCGCACGGCGTTAATTTCCCGAGAAGAACTCAAAATCTTGACAATAAACACGTAGAATAACACGTAGAATAACACGTAGAATAACTCAATAAACACGTAGAACAACTCGAAATCAATCCCAATAAGCCTAGAAGTATCTTCATTCAATCCCATTCCCAATAATTCAACCTCGTACAGGTACTAGTTTGTTGTGGTACATATTTCAAACATAAGAAACGCGATTAAATCCCCAAAACAGCATCCAGTATCCATTCCTAATATCTTCTCCTACATTTTTGTGAGCCTCATATTTCGCCTAGTCCTCCGCCCTCGTCGTTCCTATCTCCGCTCGCTCCGCCTGAAGGATTCGCCGGCCGCCCGATCACTGTGGAAGGCACAACTGTGTCTAACCCCTGCTGTGCGTCCTGTCCTCCTGCAGGTCGGGTAGATCTTTATTAGAGATAGCGGTTGTATTTCTAGTAGCGGTTGTAGTAGTAGTTAACCCATTCATACGACTTCTCGTGGATCTAACCGATCGAAGATCTTGGAGTATTTAAAGTAGATTTTTGTGAAAACAACCTAGTACTTAATTCTTGGAATGATCTACGTTCTACAGAGTGCTTGCTTAAGTTTGTGACCCGCTTCCCGCTGATGGTCCGAGAACTTCATTTTCCATCAGCTCCGTGTGACCAATAAGGCCAGCAAGACGAGCGGGATCGACGTTCGCAACCGAGGCTGAACTCCCGAGGCCGAAGGGGCTTCGCTCACCTTCCTCTTCGCCATCTCGGGATCGCAAAGGTGAGACATTAGAAGCGCGGAAGGAAAATGGCTTAAGGGCGTTATTTTTGTGAAGTATTTTCGAATGCAAATAAAAGGAAATCGTATAAAGTAGATTCTTCACTGAATAGCGCCGAAGTTTGATCCTAAATGTATAATGATAGACTATTTTTCCTATTGACTTGGACGTTGATATATTCATTCACTCATTCATTTGCGAATCACGTGACAACTCTCGCTGCCTGATTCCGTTGCGATATATTTATGTAGTTACTAGTAAGTACATGTTCAAAAATGTCTTCACGACATCTACTTCGAAGTATTTACTCTTTAACACCATAAATGGATTCTCTTCTTGTCGATCTCCAGGATCCACAACGAGTTCGACGCTAGCTCGTATTTGCTCTGCACTAGCCGCGGCCGCAGCCTCCATCGCTAGTCGTCGACCCACCGCACCTACGGACGGCAACTTTGCCAAGTCACTTGCACTGACACCTGGATGTTGATATAATTCAAATCCATTTATCATGGTTTGTGGCGGGGCAGACCTAACTAGGAAAAAAGGAAAATTTAGAAAAGTCCAAGGCTATCGATCTAAAAAAAACCAAGTAAGCGCCGGCGCTTTCGTAGTCCTGTCAGACCCCTAGTTTTCACCTTCGAAGGCAGGCCGGAGCCCTGGGCGACGCCTCCGGTGAGTGCTCAGTTCTCTGCTTGTGTGCACAGGTTTATTTGCTACGGGGTACCGGTTCACCAAATAAACCCACAACCAGAGAAAAGGACCCTAGCTACATTTTACTGTTAGCCTTAAAATCCATTTATTATGGTGGTATAAAGTAGACTAGGTCTCGAGGCAGAAGATGACGATCCTGTTACAACCAGTTGAAAAAGTCTTTTCGATACAGAGTCATTTAGATGTTCGATCCCTCACCAGATAGTACCACTGCCAGGTTATTTGAGTAAAAAGAGCTAAATAAGAAGAAGATGTTTACTTGCACGTAAAGTGTCAAGTTGAAGACGATCCTTCTTCTTTTGCTTAGAAAATGACGAAGAGCGAGCATTTGATCCAAGTTACTGACGACACTAAAGAAACTTAGAATTCATTATCAGAACACTAAGAGAAAAACTAGAAACCACTAACGAAAAATCTCTTCTACTTAGAAAACTCTTAGAAGTAGCCGCTAATGAAAAATCCCTTAGACGAAACCTCTTCTACTGATAGAAAACTCTTAGAAACCTCTACTTGTAGTACCTCAAATTCTTATACTTAGACAACTTAGAAACCCGTACTTGTAGTACCTCGTTTTTTGTCATCGGCATCTTTATCGCTGCGTCGCTTGCTTCTCTTACTCTGCCTAGAATCGCGCGTTTCCGAACGCGAGTTTGGACTAGCTTCATTAGATAATGCATGTTGTAGCAAGAAAAGAAGAGGAAGGCACACGCACGAAAAACGTGAGCATTTGCAAATTAGGTGTACTTAAAAGCTCTAGTACCTCGCTTTCTGTCTCTAGCACCTGCTACCGAAGAACTTCCTCATTCTTAATAATAGTGTTTCCGCCACCCGATAGTAGTCGTTCCTGTTCCTCTCTAGCGCTTTCTGAGGATGAAGGCACTTCCACAGTCCTGTCTCGAATAGCCCGCGTTGAACCGCCAGGAAAGTTATCTGAGAAATAGAGGGGTGTAGCGTAAGATTATTTATTACCAAAACCTAAATGTATGGTTTCAAGACGCAAACTTACTTACAACTCTCAATAACAGAGCCGCAATAACTACACAACCTAGAAATTTCGGTTCTGGTGTTGAGAAAAACTCCGTAGCAAGCAACTTGTTTTTCTTTTTAAGCACATGGTCTCGGATAGATGAAAAAGAGCACCTATCGTCTGAATAGGCACAGTTCTCCCGCGTGTGACGTTTTGCTGGAAGCCACCAAGCGTTAGAGGAGTAACAAACTCGCTCAGGAAGTCAATGACAGGACGCCTACCAGTGTTTACCGCCCTTAAATAAAACACAATAATATTCGAAGGACAAAATATTCAAAGGAAACCAAGAAGGACAAAATACTCGTGGCCAACGAAAGGAAACAAGACATGTGACAGCGTGAAGATGGCAACGAAAGGAACAAGTAGGCGTAACTGAGAAAGCATTTTCGCCCCGCGATCTCCATCCGGGTAGGCTGCCTTTTTTGCTGGTGGATGCAGCACCTTCTCGCTCTCTTTGTTTGAGCTATTAGAGGAAAGAGGTGGCCTTGGAGTACAAGGATCCTCATGATACAAGAAGAAGTTATCAATTCAGCAGAACTCAAGCATATCCTCGTATAGTTGTATAGGATAGGATATGTCTAGGATAGTAAATATCCTCGTCCGTAAATATCCTCGCGACTACATACCGCAATAATACCATGACTCTCGCAATACAATGACTCTCGTGCAGACTGCCATATCGTGCAGACTGCCATAGAGGCTCCATAGAGACTGCCATAGATTCTCAGAACTCAGCAGTGCGTCTTCAGTAGCTCTACTAGTCTACTCGCAAGTAACAAGCATTTCCATTTTTTCCGTAAATATCGCGACATATCGCAATCCGCCAAGGAGCAACATTTTCGATTTTTCCTCAAACCAGCGATCGAACGTGAGGCCGCCACTGAGCTGCTTCCTGAGCAACTCCTCGTCTTTCTTCTTTAGAACTAAGTAAATGATCTTCAGTACATTCAGTCGTCACACTTGTTCCTAATCCAATGAATAGCTTGGTAGATCTTAGACAAAAAAAACTCGAGTCCCTTTGTCAATTTCTTTGTTCTTCGTGGTCCAAACAACAACGTATAACCAACATAACTTTCTTTGTTCTTCTTCTTGAATTTCTCGTTGTCTCTTCTCGAAGAAGGCATCGATGTTTGCCAATGTGTTAGAGGTTGCGATATTGCACTCCTCAGGGGAATATCCTTTTGAAGAACCTCAACCTTTTAGGACGGAGCACTTTTTTTCTAATTTTTTTTTTGAAATTTGGTAGCTGAAGAATGCAGCTTTGACCAAGTGCTTAAATGTATTGTCGAATCGCTCCAACCGCTCCTTTTCGGTTTTGTCGCGGAACTTCAGCAACCTCGATCGAAACCGCTTGATCACGAACAACATCTTCCGCAGCTTGTACGTGTCGACACCTTCTTTGAAATAAAACGCGATTCGATACGCAAACAAAAAGCCTGCAAATTAGAGCGAGTTGTATCACCTCCTTTTACTCCAGCATGATTATGGGGGTGTGATCCTCGGTCCTCAATCGTCGCTCCTCATTGCGACACAGTCCTTGTTCCTACGAAGGAGAGATACTAGCAGGAGCAACAGTGTTTCCTACGAAGGGATCCGTGTGCCCGCCGGCTTTGCCCACAAAGGGCCCTAACAGGGAAAACACCGTACCCTAACAGGCTTTAGATAAAGAAGATCATTTGCTTCCCGTAAAAGTACATCGAGAACGCACCGACAAAGCTCTTCGTGGTTATGATGAGCGACAGCATCGCTCCCAGTCCTTGGTCTTGGTTCTGCAGCAGCGACAATAGCAAAAGAATAAGGAACATGTGCAGTTAGATGTTCCTGTGGTCAGTAAGAATCGCCCACACTATTCTCTATAGAGTAAATTTAGTAATATCAGTTTACGTGGTTGAAGTAATTACTTCCTGGTTGATTAAACATGCCAGAACATCTTCTTTCCGAAGCTCAATCATAGAATGTCGAAATTTCAAACAAAAAGGCCGTAATAGAAGTATGCTTGTCGTGCGTAGTGCAGCTTTTGCAGAATGAAAGCAGGATGGATGGAGGAAGAGGGTCTATGTATTTGATGGAGCTCATCTCTTGCTCAGTAGCAAACTTGTTCTTCTACGCAGGGTCATCTACTACCTATCTTTATGTAAATACTACTACATCAACTGCAGGAGCAGGCTAGGTTAGGTGATGGATCCTGCACAACGAGCCCCAGCGGCACCTGCTCGCCTCCGAGGATGATGGGTGACCTGTGTAAAGTCTACGAGCACCGAGGCAGGGGACCAGAGTAAAGTCGAACCGTAAATACTACTACATCAGCTTCAGCATACTCGGTTATTTCTAGGTTCTCATAGATACGAGTAAACTTCCTGCCTTGCTGGTTACCATAACTAGTGTAGCCCTTCGCTTGGTGTCTCGCGTATTCACGTAATCCAAACGGCGCAAGACGTTGCGATCTGCTCTGTGCATGCGTCTCAACAAGACCTCCTCTCTAGGGTCTCGTTTCAGCAAGGTTTTCGGGTCCAAGTGCTCGAATTCCAATGCACAAGTTTGGATATCTTCGTATGAACAAGCGGGGGAGAGTTACTTCTACTTCACACGATTGACAAATACAAGTTTTTCGAAGGTTCGACGCACCACCTCGGGTGGGCGCAGAGAAAGTGATTGGTGTGGTGGATATCTGCATACTAATAAATATGAGAGAGAGAATTCCTTACCCGACACCGGTCTGCCTGGTGACTAGCTATGTTGATTAGAAGAACATCAAGGATCTCGTATGTAATTACTGGTAGGGGAACACGGTGACCACGTTAGCGCAAGTGTATAAAATTTTTATAAGGTCATCGTGTGACGAGGAGGCAGTTGCCCTCACCATCCCTTAGACTGTCAACGTTAATCATCAGTCAAGCAGATCAATAGCGTATGGCGTATGGGTATGCTATAATATGTTGACAGATCATAGATTATATTGAAGTCCAAGGTCTTCAGAGTGCTTGCCTCAAGTTAAGCAAGTTCATCTGATCGCCTTGGTATTTATGTCAGTTTTAGGACTGACCAAGACATATGAATGTCTGCAAACTGTTATACTTGTGGCCGGCACGGCGCAAGTTGCCAACTGCCTAGGGCAGGTCGTTGAATGGTTAAGTACGCTTAAACGTGAGCATATTGGGAGTCCTTGTGTTCGCACTATTGACCTTTATCATGGGTTTGGAGTGGATGGCTTGATAATGTTGATTAGAAGAACATCAAGGATCTCGTATGTAATTACTGGTAGGGGAACACGGTGACCACGTTAGCGCAAGTGTATAAAATTTTTTCTTTGGTTAAATTAGAGTGACTCCATAAAAGGGATCTGAAATTTGACGGTTTAAATGTTGAGGAGATATTATCTCCATAAAATTTCAGATTTCAGGAGAACTGTGAACATAAAGGTCCCGGATCTGAAATTTGACGGTTTAAATGTTGAGGAGATATTATCTCCATAAAAATTCAGATTTCAAGAGAACTGCGAACATAAAGGTCCCGGGATCTGTGAACATAAAAAATCTACCTCGCGGTAGATCGTGAATATTGTTAATTATGGCGCTTGAGGCGGAACTACTTACCTTATGCGAGTCTGGGGACATCGCACTAGGTTGCGACCTAGTCCCCCTTCCACAAGCGACGACGAAGCGCACTTTTCAAGATAATGAAAAAACTGCTGCCCCCGCCAAGATCAAGAGAAGGCTTATACCTCCGGAGCGTTTACACAAGAAAGAAGCCGCAGCAGCGCAGCCTTCATCCTCACCTTCATCTTCCTCAGTAGAAAACGCGCCTTCTTCTACAACCACCAGCTACAGCGCAAAATCGGTGGACGCAGTGCTTAAAAACCTCGAAGACGGAGGAGATGGCGCAGCCAGTAGTATAGTAGAGTCTCTTCTTAGCTCGGGGTACGCCAAAAGCAGCAAGAAACATCAAGAGTCGGCCTTTTTGAAGTTTTACATTCCCATCTGCAAGCACAAAGAGTGGGATCCAGAGGAGGCATGGACAGTGGAGAAGATTCGTTTTACTGCTGCGATTCTAATGCAATGCGAAAATATAGCCAAGTCAAGACATACCGCGCTTGCTTTTATCAAAGCACGAATTGCCAAGTCACATCCGCTGTCGGATATCGAGCAGGCGGAATATTCTGCAAACTACAGCAGACTAGAAAAAGGAATTTTACCGGTGCAAGAAAAGCCAGCTCTCGTAAGTTTTTGGGTGGCAGTGGACGAAATCGCAGCTGGTTCTTCTCCTTTCTCGATATCCAAGAGCCTGAAAGTGGATTTAGGGGAATACCTTAACTTCTGCGTCGCCAGTTGGTTCTGCTTCCACAGGCCTAGCGAGCTGAAGGACACCGTAAGAGAAGTCATCGACTCCAAGTCTGTCCGCCTTCACATTGCAAAATCAAAAGTGGACCAACCCGGAAAGGGTTGGGAGGTGCGGTTTCGATGTTGCTGTCCGGCCGTTAGAAACTTGCGTTTGAAACGCAAACTGTGCCCAGTCCACTGCATGAGCGAGGAGACCTGGGAACTTTTCCGCAACATCGACACTAACAAGCAGAGACGTTTGATGTATGCTGTGGTCGAAAAGATTAATTGGCAGGAAGAAGTCGATGGCAGAAAAGTTTGGGGCTTATACAGCTTCAGGGTAGGGGGAGCTTCTTCCGCGGTGCAGGGGGGGCTCCCCAGAGAGGATGTTACTAGGGTAGGTAGATGGAAAAGCGTAAATACAGAATTGCACTATGAAGGCGACCGAGGTTTTAACGTTAAGGAGGAGTTCGCGATTGCGTGGCCCCTCCATAAAGCCAAGGTTTTAAGTTAAAAAACAGCCATTGCTATCGTTCGTTTCAAGATCAAACTAATCAATGATGCGCAAATGTTATCGCTCACGTAAGCCGTCCAACAAACCGCAACAAACAAGAAGCTCAAGCCGCTGGAAGAAATTCCAGCAACCGTTAGCGCGATCTTTATCCCTCAAAGAGGTAGATGCCAGATCCCATCCTTGAGAGGTAGAGAGATCATAAAATTAGCATCTCTCGTTCCGTTCCTTATAGTTGCCTACGAAATTGCTGAGAGATCCCACTCCCTCCTCCAAAATCGCATCCCCCACTGAAATCTTCAATCAAACAGGGAATCTTTAGGCTTCGCTGAAAGCTTACAGTCACAACAGTTTAGAAGTTATCGCTATCGTCAAATCGTTAATCATGGCAGCAAATCACCTCGTGAATGGTCTTGCCGGTGTCTTGGCCGACGCCGGCATGGCCATGCCCACCGCGGCACAAATCGCGGCGTTCAACTTGAACATCGCCAATTGCCCAGAGGAGCACCGCCCAACGTACCAGCAAATGGCGAAGGTGCGCCGTTGTTACGAGGGACAGAACATGCTCTCCGCAGCCACCTGGGCGAAGAAGGCCGATGACATGACTCCGATCAAATTTGTCGGAGCCATGCGTGGGATGGACCTACTCACCGACGAGCAGATGCACAGCTCCATTGGAGTGATCACGGGTTTCGTTTTGGGGCGTGATGGCGATTCCGCTCCTGAACACACCAAGGCCGCAGTTTACGAAACGTGGTTCGATTGCGCAATCAGCGCTTTTGGGTATATGCCTCCAGCCCCCGCCAACATCGCCGTCGCGCAGCAATACCAGTGGAGGGTTAGAATGGCCTCCACGGTCTATATCAAATCGGAGCTCAAGCAGCGCCTCATGATGAAGTCCTGCAGTGACAGGCTGGAGAAGAAAATCCGCCTTGAAATGGAGCAAAAATGCAACCGCCTGGAACAAAACCTCACGAACAAGATCAACGCGAACAAGCGCCCCAACATTCCAGACCCGCAACCTGACGCTGCCAAACGCCAGAAGAAAGAGATGCTGTGCGAGGACTTTCTGAAAGGAAAATGCAGTCGATCCTCCTGCAAATTTAAGCATGGAGGTACTGTTGCCGCGATCACGTTCGTCAACAACTTGAAAAGTCTGGGATTATCCGAAGCGCGCATTGCTCAGTTGGCCACTGAGTAAACCACGAGGCATTTTCTGCAGAGAGGTGAACGTTAACCAAGGTGGCAGTTTCAACGTTAGAGACTCTCGCCGCCTAGTGCCTGCGGCTACGACCTCTTTAAAAAGAGGTCTATTTTCAGTTAAGACACGACGCGTTTAAACTCTTCTTCAAGACCAAGTGACTACCTAAACAGCTTTCCTTTTTACGCTACTTTCCAGATATCAGCGGCGCTGTTCTCACAAGCGAGATCTCCAAATCACCAGGTACTTTAGAGCTCTCACCTCTTCCTTTCGGTCACAAAAACAGAACCACTCAGGAGCGGGATCCGTTTTTAATGACCGCGGTCATAAAAACTGTCTCCCACTAGTTTTAGAGCAAGCACATCGTCCCCACCTCTTCAAACTCCACCACAGCAACACAGGCGCCGCTAAATCCGGGCTTTAATGTTACGAGCTTTTATTAATTTTTTTATTAGAGCTAGGTTTAATTGCAGTAGATCAACAAAGCTTTTTAGTCACTTTTCAGCTAATATTTAGCTAAACTTTTCGTCATCGTTAGCGTCAGCGTTAGAGCCGTAGAAGAGTATGAACGTCAACGCCGGCGCCGCGATGTCGCGCGTACTCGACCGCGATAGCTCGAGGTCTTATGGGTGCTCTTCAATATTACCACCCTTCTTCGAGGAAGTCATCCAAGAAACGCGCTGCTCGAGTGCTGAGGAGATCTTGAGCAACAATTTGCGCCTGGGCGCATACCTTCTCAAGATGCATGAAGCAGCAGACGATCGCAACAAAGAAATGCGCGCAAGGATGACGAACGACGTGCGTACAGTTTACCAAGACAAAAACTGGGGCTTCTTTTGCAACATGCTCGAGGCCGCATGCCAAAAAGCCAGCGACTCGGTGAGAATTGAGGAAGTTATGATGGTCGAAGAAAAATTGTGCAACGGCTTCAAAATGGGCGAACCAATCCTGCCGTCTGGTTTCTGGAAGAAAGCAGACACTTCCGACGGCTACTCGTCTGAGCATGAACAGCTGAACCCAGAAGATTTCTTCAAAAACGCCAGCAGGACTCCACCAAAGGACCACTGGGCCACCCCGACCGAAATTGCCAACATGCAGATGCAAGCTTCTGACATGATTGCCAGGAAGCTTTGGATTCCGGTCGCTTCTCCTTCGTGCCCACCAGCAGTCTGCTTCCCGGTACATCAAAAAGGGAAGATCAGACTCTGCATTGATTTGCGGAAGCACAATCAATATGTCAAAACAGCCGAGAAAATGCGTTTATTAGGGACCAGAGCAGTATGCGAAATCATATCTCGCCTCATGCAATCCAATCCGCCCCCAGCCACGCTTTTCCAAGCCAAGCGTGACGTTAACGAAGACATTTGTGTGGAGCGTGACTTTGTGAAAAAGCATATCTCGGGAGCTTTGGCAGCGACCTCCGGCTCCGCGCCAGCCGCACAAAAAGGATTAGCCTGCCTCCCCGCTTCCGAAACGAAAGATCTCGAGGCCTATTATTACAATTTCGCCGTGGCCGATAAGACGAAGAATTGCTTCGCAATTCCACTAAACACGCAGGCCGAGCTTCTGGCTATGCTGGGAGCAAACAAGCCAGAGAAGGTCAAGGCCGAGCGCGAGTGGCTTTTTGTGCAATCGCTCGTGACCGTGTTCGGCTCCCTAGTGTCCGTCTATGAGGACGTCGCGATAAGCGAAGGCTTGATGCTAATTCTGGTCGTACTCCTCCGCAAACTCGCACCGGTGTACATAGACGATGTGCACCTCATAGACCGGCCCGGGTCAATCAGCAGCAGCTCCAGCGTGATCGACCTCTTCTTCTCGTTGATCAATCTACGACAACAATACCAGAAACAGTGCTCCAACCACAAGACTCAGGCTGCGCTGGTGTCGTTGGGTTTGGCTTATGAACGAGTTCCACAAGCAGACCAAATTCTCGTCTACGTTCCGCAGGATAAAGTAAAGGAACTCATCCTCAAGCTTCAGAATTTCCTCACCTCGATCACGTCAGCCACCGCGAAGAAGAAAGAGTGCGAAACAATACGAGGGCTTTTTCGCCACGTTGCACAGTTAAACCGAAGCGCGTCTGGTATTATTCGAGCGTTGGACATTTGGTGCCACTGCGACTTCACAAACCGGATCAAAAGACGTCCCTTAAGGAGACAGCTCATCATCATCACATCTGCACTACTAGAAAAAGCCCAGAACCTCCGCCCCAAAGTGTTAAAGCGCGACTCTCCCAGCCACGTTCGTCATGCATACAGCGACGCTGCAATGGAACGCCCCGTGGCACTAGAGAAGAAATCAGCAGGCGCTTGGCTGGACGTGATTAGCTGCGGCATCTTCGTTGGTATCTTACTTATTTCCCGCGACCACGCCTCTGCAAAAGCCGTTTCCTTCCAAGTCAAAAAAATCCCGAACTGGTTAGCCAACTTACGCCCCGGGATCATGTTCTTTGAGGCAGTGGCCGCCCACCTGCTTCACCGACACTTCCAAGCGGCAAGAGAAGACGCGCTCGTGGTGCATCACGTTGACAACAGCGGGGATTGCTACGCCATCATCAAAGGCTCTTCAGATGAGATGGCATCCCAGTGCGCAATCTCGGTCCTGCACGACGAGACCGAGTCAGCCGACATTTATTGGGCGTGGATTTCTACGCATCGCAACTTGAGCGATCCACTGACGCGGAAAGAAAAACTGCAAGAGCTCGAGAAAATCTTGCAGATCGAGCACATCGACTTGAGCGAGGACATAATCCCCTGGGATTTATACCGTGAGAAATTCTATTACCTCACGAGCCTTGGCCGCACTCCCAAAGAGAGTGACAGCCCCAAGAAGCGAAGGATCGAGCCCGTTTCACGCTAAGCGCGTGAGCCCGTTCCGCGGGAAGGTGCTTCGACGACCTGTCCGAGCGTGTTCCGAGGAACACGCGAATCATGCCTACCGGCCAATAGAAATACCGATAAGAAAGCTCTCACTTCATAATCGAAGAGCTATCTAAGTTTTCCCTTTTTTTTTTGGATGTTGACAGATCATAGATTATATTCAAGTCCAAGGTCTTCAGAGTGCTTGCCTCAAGTTAAGCAAGTTCATCTGATCGCCTTGGTATTTATGTCAGTTTTAGGACTGACCAAGACATATGAATGCCTGCAAACTGTTATACTTGTGGCCGGCACGGCGCAAGTTGCCAACTGCCTAGGGCAGGTCGTTGAATGGTTAAGTACGCTTAAACGTGAGCATATTGGGAGTCCTTGTGTTCGCACTAATGACCTTTATCATGGGTTTGGAGTGGATGGCTTGATAAAGTATGTAAGAGAGAATTAGTTACCACAGGTTTGGCTATCTTTAAATAGTACTCCTCAGACAGACCCTACGAGGCACTTCAGAGACTCTGCTGTTAAGTGCCTCGTAAGTGCCTCGCGAGGCACTTAAGGGACTCTGCTGTTAAGTGCCTCGTAAGTGCCTCGCGAGGCACTCAAGGGACATTTCTCGTTAAGTGCCTCGCGAGGCACTTCAGGGACTCGGCTGTTAAGCGCCTCGTAAGTGCCTCGCTAAGTGCTTCGTGAGGCAGTTAAGCGGGCCTTCGCTTAAGTGATGACCCTACGTGGCGCAGCTACTCCTTAAGAGGGGCCGCCCTTAACGGTTTCGCGAAACACTTAAGTGGCAATCGCCTTAACGGTTGCGCGAAACACCTTAGTGCCACTGCCTTAGCGGTTGCGCGAAACCGTTAAGCAACCGTTACGCGAAACACCTAAGTATACCTGTGTCTTAACGGTTGCGCGAAACCGTTAAGCAACCGTTACGCGAAAGATTCAAGAGGGCCCGGTCGTATCGGTTTCGCGAAACCGTTAACGGGGCACCCCCGCATGCTAAGTGCCTCGCGAGGCAGGTAAGGGAACCCGCCGCGGTTAAGGGTGCACTGAAGCGACCCAGTCACCACTCACCAACGCTTCGCTTAAGTGGTGCACCATTACTATTTAAGCAGCGGCTGCTATTTTTGTGGACCACTTGATAGTAACTGAAGTGGTGACTGTGCCACTTAATAGTGGTGATCTCAAGTGGCGCAGTCACCACTCCAGTGACGCTCTTAACTGGTGACCCGTCTAACACTCATGCAGTCACCACTCCAGTGACGCTCTTAACTGGTGACCCGTCTAACACTCATGCAGTCACCACTTCAGTGACGCTCTTAACTGGTGACCCGTCTAACACTCATTTGAAACTGCTTTTACAGTCTACTGGTGTCATTAATTCATGGTGCAGGAAGGAGAGGATAGCATGAGAGAGCAGAGGCCTTGTGTGTTCACATAACTTGATTTCGTATACGATGTCGAGTTCCCTGTCGTATCGTTCTAGTTGCACCATTTTCATGCCTGCTTGTTCGTCGAACATCGGCACACGCTTGACTTGCCTCTTCCGGTCGCTCTCGACTTATGAAAAGGGAAAGGACCTCGACCTACAATATATTTTTGTGATAACGCTCTCGAAATATGAAGCAAAAAGAACTCCTGCTTCTATATATCCATAATATGTTGATACCAGTCCTTCTACTATTCGAAATACTACAGTGTAGTATGCTACTAACGGGGATAGGACGATGATGATGATCCTTTTAGACTTCTATCGCCACGAACGAAAAAAACGTTGTTCGGTGTAAAGTAATGTACAAACCAGTCCTCCTATCTTCACGAGATAAACTTTATCCTAGTTCTTCTATCAGCACGAGATAAAGTTTATGCTCCTAAAAAACTCGTGCGAATCAGTATAGTGTCTATCAGAATACTACATTCAACAAATCTTTCAAATGTCCACACATGGTGTTTCCAATCTCGTGAAGGGAGGACGGCGAAAGGTACAATCTGCCAACATACCAAATGTTTCATCTCGGTGTCTGCATCGTCTGGGGCCTTAGCACTATGCTTCGTGAGCGATATCCTAGGGATCTCACTCAGTTTCATCAATGGCTTCGAAGCTCCCGGTGCCAAGAAATATCGGTATCGGGATATTAGAAATAGAATGTGTCAAATATTAGAAATAGAATTGGTAGATACCTGTCGCAACTGAAAATCTCGAACCATCGCCTCAAACTATAGAAAATACATGCTGGTGATTCCCAAGCCTGATCTAGTTCCCACAAAAGCTAGTAGTGATTAGAAAGATGCGTTGAAGAGTCGAACGTGAACGCTGCCATGCACTAAAAACGCTATCTGTTCTGGTACGGGAAAAAAAAATGTTTTCCATCCCAGCACCATAGAAAAAGTTTGTACTATCAATCCCGTCAGTACTCGAAAGATATTGCTAGAACCTCTACTGCATTTAAATTAGCACTACTTCTATCAAGTAGTTCACGCAGCTTTTATTCCAGCAGCGCATCGGAAAGTACACCGTATGGAACTGATTTTCCGTTCGCTCATTTCGGTTATCTTCCTTACTCAAAAGCTAATGCTTATAGTACGTGGGTACTACTACACATATTTAATTTCGGTTATCCTTACTCAAAAGCAAATTCATGTCATAGTTCGTGAAGGGAAAAACTAAGGGGTTATTTTTTCTGTAAGTGCTTTGCGGCCATAGAAAAAGTTTGTATAATGTAACTCGGTCGTCCGGTTCGAAACTCATTTCGTTCACTTTTTCCACGGAATTCAATATAAAATCGATCTCCGCATCCGTATACTTTTTGTACATGTCGATCACCTCGTAGCCTGCCTGTACAAAAGACGACGTGAAATGACCCAGCTTTTCCTGTACCAACAGCAGCTTTATACCGCACCGCGGGATAAAAAATTAGAGCGTCAACTACAAGATAACGACCGCTTGATACCACAGGCAGTAGCTTTAATGCCTCTCTTGTTCTTTCAAACAACTTGTTCTTTCAAGGAGTCTATTCCTGCTTGACTGGTCAACTTTTTCGTTGTAAGAACGGAGGTAAGAGTGAATAATGAGGATGATGTTGGTTGACCATGAATATGCGGGTCTGACGATTCGAATCTATTCGGCAGCTTGCCTAGGACTTCCTGGGGAATTCGGTAGTCTAGCTAGTTTCATCCTTAAGACAAGTGTAAACCTTCACGAATCTTGAGGGTCCGAAGCCTCTGCCGCATAACCTTGCTCTTCAATGTTCTCGCCTGGGCGTTGGTTAGAAGATTTTTCCAGCGGACAACTGTAAGGTCTAAAAGAGGAGAGGAGAAGAAAGTCTAACCTTGTCAAAAACCTTAGAGAGCCGAAAAAAAAATTTCACAGATGAGATAGAAAACAAAAATGGGAAAGCAAATAGTACTTATCTAGAATCTACTGCAGCTAACGAACCAATACTCGTCTCGAATGATCAACAACACTTCTCATAATTTCAATTTTTTCTTGACGAAACCACTCACTCTCAATGCTGCGTGCGCGTCGGCGCGCCTTTGCTCTTCCTCCGCCTCCTCCCGTTCCCGGCGCTGCCTTTCGGCCTCCGTTTCTTCAGCCTCGGACTCGATCAGTTCTTCGAGTTGACCGCTCAGGGAGTTTGTTTTTAGTTCTTGTTTCGTTGGCGTAGGCATATCGCTTCCTTCGTCGTCATCCTGTTGCGGCAAGCCTTGAAGCTTTCGCATATTCTTCTTCGCGGCAGTCGCGCTCTCTTTGAGCGACGACGACGGCGGCATCCTGTTCAATCTTTAGGTGCTGTGAAAGCACACTCAAGCAGTATGTGCGGTCCAAGCGAAGATCTCAAACAATATGTGCGGGCAAAGCGAAAGTCTCAATCAGTGTCGAAGCACACGAAGGTATGTGCCGTTCTCAAAGCTGCTCACTCAAACAAGTTCAACAAAGGCTTAGTTAAGAGGACAGCACCACTCAAACAACAACTCAAGTCAACAAAATCAAAAGTTTACAAATAAGTCTTAGGAGGTGCTAGTGAGGTTCGCTCCAGCAGCTCAGCAAAAGATTAACAATATATTCTCTCGTTCAAGATGAATTTGTTTTCACGCTTCCGGGCGCACTAGACTTCCTTAGGGTCTCGCAATTGCCGACTCTATGTTCTTAGAAGCTCGCTCCCCTGCACCTATGAGTGTCTGCAGCCCGGCAAAGCGGGGCTCAGAGCTTCTTGCAACTCGGAAAATTATGTTCCCCGCTCTTCCAGTTTTAGTACCCTATTGTCACGAAGTTCGGAAAAGCTCGCAATAAGGTTTTTTTGAGCAGCTCCTAGTCGACTGCAAAGTGGAGCTACCACTTTTATCGCAAATCCTTTGGCCTCTTCTCTTTCGGTCGGAGACTTGGCGCCAAGTATTTGGGGCCCCGTGCCGTCGGGACCCGCTGCCGCAAAATGCGAAGAGGGCGACCAGGCGGGGGGCGGGTGGGTGCTGGGACGTGCGCAAGGGCGGCGCAGTGAGCCAGGCACGCGGGGAGGCGGGGCCGCAAGGAGAGAGGAAGCCGGGCGCCGGGGCGAGCGCGAAAAACCGCAGAGAGGGCCGCCGGTGCTCCGAATTTCACGCCCATATAATCTTTGAAACAGGGCGCCCGCTCCGTCCCGGGCCCGTCCGCGGGCAGGCGCCGCCGCTCCTTCGCCCTCGGTGTTTGCGTCCCCAGGGACTTCCGCACTGTAGCCGCAGCAGGTATCCCCGGGGCCGCGGGGGGCTCCGGGTCGGGAGGGCTTCCCGCCCTTGGGGAAGGGGGGCGGGGATCAAGGTCGAGATCGCCCTCTATAGCGGCTAGGGGAGAAACTCGTGGGGGGTCGTGTCCCAACCCCATCAGTTTCCCCAAACCTTCCGCCCCTGCCAAGGCAACCGGGAAGCCCGTGGGGACCCCGCCGGAGACTAGGTAGATTGCCAGGCGTGGAGCACGGGGCCCGCAACCGGAGCCGCGGAACCCAATGGGCCGCCTGTGTGGTCCTCCGTGGCTTCTGCGTCGTCTTTGCAAGGGCGGAAGGGTCGGGAATCTGGGGGAAGCCCTGGCCAGTAAAAGAAAGCCCACACTGATTCCCCAAGGAGGTGCCAATAGGAGACGGCGCTGTATGGTTGAGGTCGCCCTCTATGGGGGCCCACGGGAAACCAATGGAAGAAAGTGGCAAGCGTTTTCGCCAGCAGTTTCCAACGGGGTTGCGGCTTTCTCGCTTCTATTTGGCTGAAGTAGCGAGAAACCCGCGACTTTGGCAGTAGTTTGCGCTTTGGTTCTTCCTTGCCGTCGCTCGTCGGCAAATAGAAGCGGGCGCTGCTAGTGGGGAAAGGGCAAAAGCTTCGTGGCCATTAGTTCGCACGGGAGTGGGGCTCTGCCGCTTCTATCAGGCACAAGTAGCGAGAAAGCCGCTACTTTGGCCGCAGTTGTTGGGCCTGCGCCTGGGTTCTTCTTTGTCGTCGCTCGTCTCGCGTCGGCTTATCGCGGGCCGGCTGCTAGGCAGCCCTGCGCCGCGCGTCTGTTGCCGACCTATCGCGGGCCGGCTGCTGGGCAGCTCTGCACTGCGCGTCTGGTGCCGACTCTTCGCGGGCCGGCTGCTCGGCAGCTCTGCGCCGCGCGTCTGTTGTCGACTTATCGCGGGCCCGCTGCCAGGCAGCTCCGCGCAGAGCGTCTGCTACCGACTTAACGCGGGCCGGCTGCTAGGTAGCTAGCCCTGCGCTGCGCGTCTTTTCTCGACTTATCGCGGACAGGAGATCCGACAGCCAAGGCTTCGCCGGGTGGTCACCTTCCCAACCCGAAGGAGGCGCACAGCTAAGCGAATTGCGAGGACTGAGCGCCATCTAATGGCGGAAGCAGGGCCGCAGGCGCCAGCTTTGCGACAGGCAAACAAACGAGCGCACGATCGCGGACTGCCAAGGCGCCGAAAGGAAAGGCTTTCCTTTTCTACGAGGTCACCTTCCCAGCCCGAAGAGAGTCGCAAGCCGAAGGGAATTGCAAGGGCTGCGCGCCATCTGGTGGCGGGGGCAGGGTCTCAGGTATCAGCTTCGCGACAGGCCAGCAAACGAGCGCGCGACCGCGGACAGCCAAGGCCCCGAAAGGGGGCGACTTTTTAAGGGGATCACCTTCCAAACCCGAAGGGAGTCGAACTCTTCAGCGAGTTGCAAGGGCTGCGCGCCACCCAGTGGCGGGGGCAAGGCCCCAGGCATCAGCTTAGCGACAGGCAGGCAAACGAGCGAGCGATCGCGGACAGTCAAGGCCTCGAAGAGAGGCGACGCCTTAAGGCGGTCACCCTCCCAACTCGAAGGCAATCGCACTCCTAAGGGAATCGCAAGGGCTGCGCGCCATCCAGTGGCGGAGGCACCAGCTTCGCACGCGAGCGCGAACGCTGCGGAACCCAGTGCGCGGCTTGCGCCGGTCTCGACTACGTTCCCAGCAGGGAAAGAGGCCGCCGGAATCTAATGGGGACCCCATGCCAATCGCGAGGAAGTTACAAGGCGCCAGCGCTTTCTCTCCATTCGTTTCCCGCCGGCCCCCACAGAGGGGCGGCGCTGCCCTTCAGGGTGCCCAGAGAGCTGAGCAAGAGACGGACAAGCGAGACGAGTGAGTGTGGTGCGCAACTGGTGTGGGCAAGTGGGTGGCTAAGTGCCTAACGAGGTTGGTCGGCTACTCGCTAGGTGGGTAGGTAAGTAACTGGCCGGGCAGTTGGTTTGTAGGTAGATCCATAGTTGATTTTTTTTACCATGCTGCTCGTGAAATTTTTCGAAGATTCAAAAAATTAGTTTTTGAGCGATTTCATAAGTTGCTACTGGTATAGAGCTGGAGTTCATTAATACTAATACAAAAATATGGAGGAAATAAATTCCGAGAAAGTTATGATCTCATGCCTATCGGAAAAAATATCATTCGCCTTAAATAAACTGGGAGAGTCAGGGCGAGAAACAACCCAAGGAACACAGCAGAAACACGACACGAAAAACGGGAGCCGACCGGGGTCTTCTGGGAGACGCTACCCACCTCAGAAGACCACACGCGGGGGCGGGGGAAGGCGGGACTGCCAAGCAACGCCCCCCCGCCTCACGGCGCACGCCTCTCCCAGTGGTCTCTCTCCTGGAGTATCGGTCCCACCCCAAACAAAAAAACGAAGGGCAGCGCCTGCCAAGTGTTGGGAGTTTGAGGAGATCCGTCAGACCACTAAATGGCTAACGGTCACCATGTCCGAGCTCTTTGGGCTGCGGCCACTTTATGCACAAGCGCAGCCCGCGCAGGTTCTCTGCTCGCACAGCTTCAGGCTTGCGCTTTTTGGGTGGGTTTTCTGCTCGTGCGGCTTGGGGTTTTTGGCCTTTGGGTGGGCTTTCTGTTCGCGCGGCTTCAGGCCTGCGGTTTTTGGGTGGGTTTTCTGTCCGTTTGGCTTTGGGTCGATGGCTTTTGGGTGGGTTTTCTGCTTGCGCGGCTGGGGGTTTGCAGCTTTTGGGCGGGGTCCCTGCCCATGAGGTCCCACGGCTTCGGGTTTTTGCCCATCGGTTCCCTGTTCGTGCGGTCCCAGGGTTTACGGCCCCCAGCTCGGTCAGCTTTTTCCATGGCTTTCGGGCTGTTGTGTTGGGCCCCTGCTTGGCTGGTGTTAGAGTTTCAGGCTTCTCGATTGGCTTGCCGTTCGCGTGGTTTCCGCGTTTAGGCTTTTCCTGTCGGTTTTCTATTTGTCTGGTCTGCAGGTTTAGGCTTTTGAGGTCGGCCGCCTGTTCCTCTGGTCCTAGGTTTTAGGGGTAGCAGTCGAGGACTTCGCGCTTGTGTGTCGGGCCTGGGTTCTGATGGCTTGCCCGCAGCTTATGCGCCAAGCACCTCCCTCGCCCTCTGTGGCATGCTCCCAGAGCCAACCCAAAACCTACCAAACTGCCCACGAGGGCGCTGGCGGTTGCTCTCGTTTCAGAATTTTATGGAGGAAGATACCTCCTAAGCCTCTCAAATTTCCCCTGGTTTTCCCAGGTGGTGGTCTGCCTTGGAAAAGTTGGCACATCTTTCCCAAAACTTGCTGAGCTCTTCACACTGCCCAACAATAGAGACAAAATCGCTACTGTGTACGTATTAGCTTATTCGCCGTCGTTTCAAGTTGGCCTTTTTCCGCATGTGGGGGCTCTTGACTTTCAAAAAGTTCGGCGCCTCTTTTCGATTTTTTTTGTAACAGAGCTCTGCTAGAGGCGAAGAATGAACCAACGACGTCTATACATAACGAGTGACATGCATGGCCAAAAATTTTCTCGCTTTTCGTGGTTTCCCAAAATTTTTGGCAGTTTCTAACTTTCAGAAAAGTTTACAACCTTAAAAATGCACCAGACAAGGAAACAAAGAGCACACCCCCGCCCGGCGTTTAAAAATTGGAAGCGGGTGAGCCATGCGGCCTACCAATATCAGACCAGAAGCAGGCCGAGCCCAAAATGGAGCAAACTAGCAAGCTCCTTGACATTGAGAGGACTCCGCGGCCCTCTAACATCAGAACCGCGACGCCGCACAGCGTCGGCGTCCGCTCTGTGTCTAGATTCCTCCACAGTCTAGACGTAGCCATCTGCCTGCGCATGATTCTAATTGTTACGCGCGAGCCACGCGATGAAGAACGCATCCCCGCGCAAGGCTTCGGCGGCGGCCTCTTGCGAGCTTGCCGGAGGCTTTGCGAGGCGGCTCCCGCGGGCCCTGCCCCCGCCTCCCAGGCTTTCCGAGAAGCTTGGAGAAGACTCAACCACGAGCCTCGACCGGGCTGCCGAAAAGGTCTCGGGGCGGGTCGAGGGGGGCCCGCGGTCCCGAAGCAGTCCGGCGCCCGTTATGGCTTTTCTCTATGTTCTTGCGGCAGTTTGGAGCCGTCTCTCCGTGTCTCCAAAATGAGAGGCGGACATGTCTCAGATTGATCAAATTCGCACAGTTTCGACCCCTCACCGACAAGACCCGCAGCGGCTTCGCTTCGTTTGGGAGATGGATCTCCTTCCCCGGATGAACGAAGCCAGAAGCGACCTCGGCCGCGTGTGGATTCTAGTCGCGAGGGCTTCCCGACTCCGAGCGGGCTCCTCGTCTTGAAGAGGTCCAGAGCTCGGCCGGAGCTCCCTGAAAGAAAAAGACGGGGAGCGCACTGCACTCGCCTCATAACCCACCGCCAGCCACCGCGCGGCGCCCTCGAATCTCAGGAGCGAACCAAGCACGAAGAAGACCGAGCGGGACACACTGCGCACGCAGTGCAGCGCGCCACCAGCCACCGCAGCGCGCCCCCGAGTCTCCTAGGAGAGAGGAAAACGAGAGGGAAACAAAAGAGAAGACAAAGGCAACACAGGCGGGACTGTGTCGACCGGGTCACCACTGGAGAACCACGCGCAGCCAAAGCCGCAGCACCGTCATGCCATCCCGCCCCTCGCCTCTCTTGTTCCTCTCCCCGCTTCTCGCTCCTCGAGATTCGAGGGCGCGCCGCGGTGGCT